CGCGCGCGCGCGCGCGCGGAGTGGGAGGGGTTTGCTGGAGCCACTTGCTCCCTCTAATTAGCAGCGTGTGCCGGTAAAGAAACTCAGTGGAGCGACCTCACCAAGGCGCAAAGGCATCCGGGGGCCACTTCACCTGTGTGATGACTTAACTTGTGTGAAGTCCGACTTGCAGACGCAGTTCGGATGCTCAGAGCGCGGCAGTGTGCTCTGGTGCTAAGCTGACACACAGTAAAAGCTCAGACTGCAGATAAGGGAAAAGAAAGACACTTTGAGGTTTTCTGGTGAACTCCGGCGCGTCCCGCTTCTTTCCGCAGCGGGTTTGGATCCGACGCACTTCCGACTTGTTGCCCCCGCTGAGCTGTGAGGGGCTCCGGCTGCTGCGTTGCGTGTCCGACATAACAAGTCAGCTACAGGACTTAAAAGCCAGCTGTAAGGATGATGTCCTACATAAAGCAACCCCATTACACCATGAACGGGTTAAATTTGCCTGGCCCCGGTATGGATGTGCTGCACACAACCGTCGCCTATCCGTGTAAGTACAAACTGTTATATTTTAAACACTTTTTACACTTTTTGTTATACTTTAATGTATTTGTCTCCTGCTGTTGTGGTAATTTACAGCATACAATCTACCCAGAATGATGCGTAAAGACGCGCAGCCTGTGCGTAACGCTGCAGCTAACGGAAAATAAATGAAAGAGGATAAAAAATAGTTTCATAAGAGGCTATATGGATGAAAAGGTTTGATAATAATGATTCGATAGTAAAACGTGCCATAGAATTATCATTACTATACCGATCTGAGTCCAAGAAAATTAGAATATTTAACTTTGTTATGAGATATTATTGATTTAATGAAAAGTAAATACCTTCTTACATTCCTCTACAGACGTGCCGGTATTGGTGCAGATATATTCATTAATGAATAATCTGCACTCACTCCTGAGCTTAGTGTCTGTCAGGATTCAGATTCAAAATTTTATTTTTTCTTTGTTTCTCACTTTTTCCCTCAAATGTTCTCATGCCGCTGACGCTCAGACAAACGCAGACTGACAGTAGATGGAGACACTTGCTGTGCTCAATGCCAAATTATCCTAACTGCATCTACAATTCCTCACAATACTTGTTCTGAGACAAATACACTCAGGCATTTGGCTGTGTACCATAGAGGGCAGATCTGACTTTGAATGTACAAACAAATGTCTCCTCCTTCTCTGGGAAAGCCAAAAGAACCAGTGACTGTTACAATAATTTGATATAATGAGCAATGACTTGTCTCCATATTGGTCACAAGCAGCCTGTAGAGAAAAAAAGTCAGTCAAAACAGTAATGTACTGTGAGGTTTCCATTCATATTTTATCTGTCGTCATCCTCTCACACAGAGCAGGAAAACAACAAACTAATCTCTTCAATGACCGCCATGTTATAATAGGAGTCTGAGTTATAATTCGTGTCATCTCTCTGTTTGCTGCCAGGCAGTATAATAATCCTCTCTGTGTGTCTCTTTGGTTTGCAGCCACTCCCCGGAAGCAGCGCAGAGAGCGCACCACCTTCACCCGGACACAGCTGGACATCCTGGAGGCCCTGTTCTCCAAGACCCGCTACCCAGACATCTTCATGAGGGAGGAGGTGGCCCTCAAGATCAACCTGCCTGAGTCACGTGTGCAGGTACTGGAGCAGTAGGCTGCAGCCAAGATGGAGGCCACACTGTTCAGTGTTTGTGGGTTACTTAGAGTGAGATTTAAAGGCAACTACAAGTCACACTCTCACCTCTGTATCCCACACCTCTGATTATTATTTATTTATTTATATTATTATATTTCCACGTTCTGTACTAAAACATTGTGTCTTTCTCTCCAGGTTTGGTTTAAAAACCGCCGTGCCAAGTGCCGTCAACAGCAACAGCAGAGCAGTGGCCAGTCCAAACCCCGCCCCCCTAAAAAGAAGGCTTCTCCAGTGCAGGAACCCAGCGCCCCTGATCCTGTTCCTAACCCATCTGGCTCCTACAGCCCCTCCTCTGCCCAGTCAGGCCCCAGCCTGGCCCCGAGCTCCAGCACTGGAAACACTGCAGTGTCCATCTGGAGCCCGGCCATCTCGCCCCTGCCCGACCCCCTGGCCTCCTCCTCTGCGCCCTGCATGCAGCGGCCCTCCCCCTACCCCATGAGCTACGGCCAGCCGTCGGCCTACAGCCAGGGCTACGCCAGCACCACCTCCTACTTCACCGGCCTGGACTGCAGCGCCTACCTGTCCCCCATGCACTCGCAGCTGTCAGGCACTGTGGGCGCCCTCAGCCCCATCACCGTGCCCTCCATGGGGGGCTCCCTAAGCCAGTCCCCGGCCTCGCTGTCCTCGCAGGGCTACAGCACTGCCTCCTCCCTGGGCTTCACCTCTGTTGACTGCCTGGACTACAAGGACCAGCAGGCCTGGAAACTGGGCTTCACCACAATGGACTGCCTGGACCACAAGGACCAAAACTCCTGGAAGTTCCAGGTCCTCTAGAAGGGGAGAGAGGGTGTGTCAACATGTCATGCGTCTCAACGAGTCCGGTGTGAGATAGTGCGAGGCAGTGCAGCCAGAGGACTCGTTATCTTTGATTTTCAGTTTCTCGTTTGTAAGATTTTGGTTTATTTTCGAAAGGGTGACCTCTGTAGAATTTGATTTGAATGACTTTGGAGATGAAGGGACCAGGGACTGTCATCGATGCTGCCTGACTGCAAATCATTTATCTGTTGTCTTCTTCACGCTACGTTAAATAAGAGAACAAAAGCTTTGAAAGAGTTTGTAGGGAAATACTGGAGTCGTGCTTATAAAAACACACCGGGCCATCTCTTCTTTTAACAAGACCGTCTGATTCAGACACTGTTTCATCAACTGCCGTCATCGTAGAGTGAGAGGAGAGCTGCTTTGACAGGAAGGAGCTCAGAAGTCCTCTAGGTCACTTCCTCCTTCAGGGTTTAATTATTTTAAGCTATTTATTATTAATTTATGCTACATTTAAATATGTAATTTGGTTTAGATATTTTTGAGCATTTGTGTTACAGTGTTAGCCTTTAGTGTTATCCTCCCAATCTGTTTGATGGAAAAATTAGACCTTCTGTTTTAGTTGTGTGACATATTAAAGTGATCTATTCTTTACACGTCTGTGCACTGACACTCATTGCAGGTTTACGGCTCATTTGGCCTGATTCTGACACAGTTATTAATTGACCCACAGGTCGGTATGAAGACACAGGGCGGATGTAAAGTGGCCATGTTGTGCTCAGGTCTGGACCCGTCATGTTTGTCATATGGCCTGCATGGCTCTCACTGGTCCGTCTTGGTTATTTTAGCTTATCTGATTCTGGGAGTGTCCCAATCCTCTTAGCCTCCCTTCAGCAATGCCCTAAGTGAATTAGTTAGGATTATTGCCCTATCCCCCTCTGTCTCTCTCTGTCTCTCACCCATCTCACCCACCTCTTCCTCCCCTTCCTTTCCTGGCTCTCTCCTCACCTTTTTTTTCCCTCTTTCCTCATTCTCTCTCTGACTCTACAGTATCTCTTTTCTCGATCGCCACCTGTTGTCTACCTTTTGCTTCTCTCCCCCCCCAAAAACTAACATATTATTCCAAAGCATCTCAATTATTGACAGCAATGCAGTTAAATAAAGCCTTTTCATTAAACAGTTGTTTTTATTAATTGTTCTGGCTCTGAGATGTCGGCTCATTGGATCCCCTTCTTTCAACCCCCACCACTCCACCAATCTCCCCAACTCCTCTGACAACTTGGTAATCCCCACATGACCTGCTTACTGCCATGCACATTTAGCTATGACATCAAATATCTGGAAATATTTCACAGATGTATGTGTTGTTTGTGTGTTGTGGGAGTTTGTGTCAAAGGCTGTGTATTATGCTATCTTTTTAAAGCGAAATCGAATTGTAGAGCCATAAAATAACCTAACCTATGGTTTTACGGTATTGTTTAGATTCAGATTAAATTTGTGCAACTGACATGCTTAATGTCTGCTAAATTAAAGGCTTGATAAAGTGTCACTCCTGAAAGATTTCTGATGTAATTCTGATATAAATAATAAACACAAATTCTACTTTTGTTGCTATGTAAATCATATCCCTGTCTTCAACCACGTAAAACGTTTTTCGTTTCCATTATAAATTCACATCTACTGCACTGAGAGAGAGAACGGGTAGCAAGGGACATTTCAAAGCATTTTTCTGCACTCAACACTGGCCTAATCCCACTCTGTGCTCAGTTTAATCCCTCTCCCTCCCTCTCTGTGGTGTGATTGGTTAATCCCTGCGTCTGCGCACCCTGATTGGTTAACCTCTCTTGGAGGGTGCAATGCACTTGTAATCTTCCCCCTCAGCACTGAGAGTTTCAGACAGACATTTGCGCTGTAATCCCACGGAGCAGCAGATGTGATGGGGGATGGACGGCACCGAGCAGACCTTGAGGAAGGTGAACGCCAGAAAACAAAAACACGGCACGTGGTCTGAGGAGGAGAACTTGTGCTGGCAAAGTCCAAATGTTAGTTGAAAGTGATTGTTACAGGTCCTGACACATGGTGACAGTGGTAAAAATGAGATCAGTGGTTCCCAACTTTTTCCTTGAGGTACTGCTTTTCTACCACTGAGTAAACTGACGATCCCTGACTAAGTATTTTATTTTAAAAAATCCCTTTTCACAATCATAAATATTTTATAGCTTCTTTTTTTGACAAATTCAATGTTTTCTTCTCCCTGATGCTTGGTCATTGTTCTATTAGACAATTTACATTTACTTTCTTTCACAGAAGTGAACCTGTATCATTTTTAAGTTTTCTTACACGCCAAACCAAGAAGGACTCAAGATCCCCCATGGTGCTTTGCGACCCCTAGTGGGGGTTTGTCCCACAGTGAGGGGCTGTAACGTGTATGTTTAGGTCACTTCTCTGCCTACACAGGAAGTGATGAATATATGAAATATCTAATCACATTCTGAACACAGTTATGGGAAAAACAGAAACAGAACTGATCCATGAAGCAGCTCTTCATCACTGGGTTATCACTGTGAACCATTAGCTGTCACAGTTATATTATCAATAATGGACTAAATGTATTCATGTGAACCTGCTCTTTATTGATGATACAGAGATCTTTCTTTTCTAATGCCCCTGATCTGTCAGACAGTGGTGGTATGGTATTCAGATCCATTACTTAAGTACCTATGTAACAATGTAAAAATACTAAATACTACAAAATAATTTACTTTACATAAATTAAAGTACAAAAGTATTATCAGCAAAAATATGAAAGTGAAAGTTTCCAGGAAAATCAGGAAAAATGGCCTCTGTCAGTGTAAGATTATAATATATTATACTTTTGGATTATTATTAGCCTACTGAATGAACACACAAGCAGCTTGTTAATGTTGGCTGCCGGCTGTGAAGCAATTTTTTCCCCATTGTATATACACTGGGACAGTGCTATGTATCCTATGTGGAGGGCTACTTTTTTATTTTTCAATTCAGTTTTATTTCCATGGTGCCAAATCCTAACAGTTATCTCAGGACACTTTTCACATGGAGCAGATTTAGATCATACTCCTTATAACATTACTTAAAGAAACTCTTTGTGTTAATTGCAAACCAAGTCGGAAATCTTGGTGTAGTCATGCATAGTCATGGTTAACAACTACATTAAGACAATTACAAAATCAGCCATCAATCACCTTAAGAATATATGAAGAATTAAAGGATTTATGTCTCAGGGGTCTCAGTAGGCTCGACTACTGTTACACTTGCTCTCTGTGTGTCAAAGAACTGACTTTAAAATACTGCTGTGGGTTCAAAAGATACTGAATGGTTTGGAGCCAAAATGCATTTCTGACCTTCCGACCTGTCGGATGGTCTGGGTTCAGGTCTGCTTACTGTCGCCAGAATCAAAACTAAACACAAAGGAGCAGCATTCAGATGTTATGCTCCACTCCCAGAAAACTCTACATCTGCTCCAACTCTGTTCTTCTGAATCAGGGCTTAAAACCTGCTTTCCTGTTTCACACTGCATTTAAAACATTCAGGACTGTTTATTCATAAAATAATATACGCACTGTAACATTTATTATCTATCATTTTTCTTTTAGTTTTACTTTACTTGAATATTTGCGTCCTTTTGTATTGCCTTGTTCCGTTTAAATATTTTCTCAATGTCTCTCTGTTTTATGTACAGCACTTTGAATTGCCTTCTTGTTTAGATATACTATGCATATAATACCCACTCATATCCAGCCTTTGTTTTGGCCACTGGAGCATTTCAGCGTCAAAAACTGTAACGCAAATAAATCACACCAACCAGCATCAGTTTTTAACACCTATTTATTACCACCATAATATGAGAAATTTGGAAAATACAAAGATCAGCTTATTTATACGTCTGAAAATCTTGAGGAATAAGAAAAATAGAAAAGAAAACAAATATGAGGTTATATTGTGTATCACAAATTTTGGGAAAGGGACAGATTATATGTTCAGATCTACAGAGAGTGCAAGAGACACACAGAGCCTAAACATGCAGAGTGTAACTGTCACTATAATGTCAATTCATACTGTTGTGACGAGTCTAAAGCCTATGTGTGGAGAATAAGATAGACACAGAAGCAGAATGTGTGATGACGAATGTACAGTGAACAACTGGATAGACGGAGAGATGGTAAACCATCGCCCCCGTGTGGCTGCCATTAGAATAGAAGTTGCCTTGGAAAACAGAGAAGCCCTTCCTGATTTTCTATAACGAATCAGATCACTGTAACAAAAACTGATGTTGACAATGTTAATTGCTTTTTTCTGTTAATGCGATGATTTTGGAAGTGGTAAAGAGAAGAGATGCTCATCCATGAATTATATGCGTAAAAAAAATAGACACCATATCCACAACGATAATCAATATTCTTAAGCAACCAAAAGATTCTTATTTGTTGAGTACAAGTGGTTTAAAAGATCAGAGCTCACGCATCCACACAGACAGACCAACAGGCCGCCGTCCCCTCCCAGTGCAGATCACAGAGGTGGAGGTGGTCTGAAAAGGTACAGCGAGCCGTCTGGCTGCAGCTGCAGAGCGAGGGGGCAGTGGGGGTGTAGAGGGACGGACTGGGTTGGGAGGGGAGGAGGGAGTTCAGATGGAGCAGAGGCCTCGGGACTAGTTTTAATAGCACCCTGCTGTGGAAGTTGCAGCTCCCCTTAAGCACACTAGCCCCTCGGCCACATCCCTCTGCTTCACCTCTGTTAGCCACACAAACCACACCTGCTGGCCTCCCACCCCGGAGGAATCCCGGTGAGCTCGAGGGTGGGCTTCATGTTCTTGAGGCACCACCCAAACCCAGTGACGTGTTTGTTTGAGTATGTGTGCACTGCGCGTCTGATCTGAAAAACCTTTTACATGCACGAAAAAGGTACCCTAAAAACATTTGGTGAAGACAAAAAACCTATGAGAGACCATACTTCAACATATTTCTATCTCTTCATAATCAGGATTACTCTAAAGTCTACTGAGAAGTTGGGCAGGCTGGGGAGGGAGGGGGACAGGGATGGGAGGAGGTGGGTGGGTGGGGTAGAATGAGGGAGTGAGGAAAGGGGCGGGTAAAGAAAAACAGGACAGAGGTGAAACATTAGGGAGGCCGTCTAAGCCCTCTCTCCGCGGATACGGCGGGCCAGCTGGATGTCTTTGGGCATGATGGTGACACGCTTGGCATGGATGGCACACAGGTTGGTGTCCTCAAACAGACCCACGAGGTACGCCTCACTGGCCTCCTGCAGGGGGAGAGAGGGACAGCACATATCAGCAGGGGCAGTGTGTCAGTTATACAGTTTGAAAGTTACACTGCTATCGCTTTGGAAAGGACCAGTGCG